ATATAAAGAAACTTTAGGTCCAGGCTTAGTGGTATATGTCTTTAATCCTAACACTCAGGAGAGAGATGCATATCTCTGAGTTCTAGTCAGTTTTGTTCAAGTTGAGTCAGTGAGCTTATAGGCAGTGCAGTGGAATTGAATTGGCGGCAGTTCAGTTCCTGGCATTTAGAGACAGCTTTACTGGGGAAGGTTTACAGAGACAGGTTGAGGAGATAAACTAGACACAGGTGAAGACAGAGAATGAGAAAGAGCCAGAAGATAGAACATAGTGTTAGAGTTAGTTTGAGGCCAAGCAGAGCAATTCATAAGCTGTGGAAGCTCATTTGAATCAGTCAACTAGGAGAGGAGTTTGAGCCAGAACAGCTGGGTTGAACCAGCCAACTAGAGTTTAGAAACAGCTAGAATGGGTGAGCTTATTCAGCAGTAAGTCTCAGAGGCTGAAAACATTCTAGGCCTAGAATAGATTGTAAGGAAGCTAAAGGCTTTCAGGACCAGGCCTAGGTTAGCAGACAGAGGCAGTAACCTCAGAGACGACAATTACATCAGGTTAATAAAAGGTACGTTTATACCCTCCCTTAATATGAGAGGCTCATTCTTCTTGGCATGCTGTTCTAAAGCTATCATGCCCCTTTTTGTTAGGAGTCATCTTTTCTGCATACAATGTCATGTCACTGTGTTTTTATGAATATTTTTCTGAAAATACTGATGATGAACATTTTTCATATAATTGTGTTGGTCATTGGTGTGTGTTCTTTTGAAGAGTATCTGCTCAGACCCTTTGTCTATCTTCTTTGAAGTCAAGCAATATATTTTTCATTGTGTATGTTTGTTTGTTTTTCAATTCCTAAGTATTGATCTTAGGGTCTTATACATCCTAGGTATAAGTGCTACGTACATATTCCTGGAGAGTTGTTCTGGTTTTTTGTTTGCTTACTTGTTTGTTTACATTTTAGCTGCTAACTCCTTACCAGGTACATAGTTTGAAGATTATTTTATTTTATTTCATTTTTGATTTTCCAAGACAAGGTTTTTCTGTGTAGTCTTGGCTATCCTTGAACTTGAACTGTAGATCAGGCTGAACTCTTAACACAGAAATCTGCCTGCTTCTGCCTCTTGAGCGCTGGGATTCAAGGCGTGCACCACCACCACCTGTATACAGATATTTTCTAGTTTGTGGGTTTTCTTTACTTTGGTATTTTCTTTTTTAATTTTATTTTTATTTATTCATTTTATATCCCTGTTGTAGTCCCCTCCCTTCCTTTCTCCCTGTGCCACCCTCCATCCCTGTTTTCCTCTACCCCCACCAGCATATCAAATTGTATCAAGACTGACTGCATCCTCTTCCCCGTGGCCTGGAGAGGTAGTTCCATGAGGGGAAAATGATAGAAAATCAGCCAAAAGAGTATGATCAGAGTCGTCCCCGATTCCCCTTACTAGGGTACCCAAATGAGGACTGAGCTGCCCATCAGCTACACATGTGTAGGGGGCCTAGGTCCAATCCATGCATGGTTCATGGTTGGTGCTTCAGACTCCACAGACCCCTGTGGGCCTTGGTTAGTTTGCTCTGTTTGTCTCCCTATGGAGCTTCTGTTCCCTCTGGGTCCTTCAGTTCTTACCCCCAACTTTTTCACTTTTTCTCTGGATCTGTTTTATCAGCTGATGGATGGAACAACTCAGAGGACAGCTATGCTAGGCTCCTGTCTGCAAACATAGCAGAGTATCTTTAATTGTTTTAGCTGTTGGCTGTCCCCTATGGGGTGAGTCTAACTTTGGACCAGTCATTAGTTGGACATTTCCTCAATCTCTGCTCTATTTTTGTCCCTGCACATTTTGTAGGCAGGATAAATTTTGAGTTGAAGTTTTTGTGAGAAGGTTGGTGTTGGCCTGCTTGCACTGGTTGTTGATCCCAGTAATCAGGGAGGCAGAGACAGGTGGATCTCTGTCAGTTCAAGGACAGCCTGGTCTACAAAGAGAGTCCAAGACAACCATCATCTATCTTTTTTTATGTTGCCTATGATTTTAATGTTGTATTTTAAAAATTCACTTCCTATTTGAATGTTAATACATATCCTCTGTTGTTACCTAGATGTTTACAGTTGGCCTACCATGTATTTTAATAAAAGCTAAGAAGGCAGTACTGAAAGGTGTCCACAGTCACACACACACACAGAAGATCCGTACATCACCCACCTTCTGGTGGCCCAAGACCCTGCTGCTAAAATATCCTCGAAAGAGGACACCCAGGAGAAACAAGCTTGACCACTATGCCATCATCAAATTCCACTGACCACTGAGTCAGCCATGAAGAAAATAGAAGACAACACAATTGTGTTCATTGTGGATGTCATGTCTAACAAGCCCTGGTCAAACAGGCTGTGAAGAAACTGTATGACATTGATGTGGTCAAAGTCAATACACTGATAAGGCCTGAGGGAGAGAAGAAGGCATATGTTCAGTTGGCTCCTGATTATGATTCTCTGGATGTTTCTAACAAGATTGGGACCATCTAAACTGAGTTCATCTATCTAATTCTAAAATATACACCTTTTCGATCATAAAGAGAGAGTACTGCTTTGGAGTACTGCTCTGTAGATTACTACTATTGGAATATAGAGCAATCGCTTTAGAGAGAGCTGCTATAGGGAGAACATCTATATAGAATGCTGGTATTGAGTACTGCTACTGAGTATTGCACTAGCAAGTAGAGTTCAGCTTTAGAGAGTAAAGTACTGATACTGGAGTAATGCTATTGTAGTATCACTAGAGAGAAAACTGCTCGAAAGGGTACTGCTACTGTAGTACTCTTGTAGAGAGTAGCAATATAGAGACAGAGAGGGGAAAAAAACAAACTAGACTTCCATAGGACAAAAGAAAATGAGCTGGCTTGACAGGTGCATACAAAGATAGATTTTTAAAAAGCTACAAGATTAGTGTAAAATTCATGCCAGGCCTGACAGCACCAGGTGTCTTCCATATCCAGTGGTCAGATGACATGATATCTTTTCCAAGATGTCATCCTTTCATTTTCACATCTTCTCTACATTTTAACCATTTCTTTGACAATAAGAGCACTAATTTCATGACAGCTGGTTTTCAGCAACCTGTGATCTTTCCCTGAATAAGTGTGCATTGCCACTCAAAAATTTAAATTTTTGAATCTAAATTTTGTCAGGAATTTTACCCTGAAGTACAATTCTTTTTTGTTGTTTTTAAGGTAGTCATCAATTATTTTTTATCATTTGTCATGAACCAGACAGACCATTTTGATTGTAGAAGTCAATGGGAATTTACTGGGTTTTAGACATGATTTAGCAAGTAGTTAATATTATCTGGTTATATATGTTACAAACAGTTTGCAATATCTTGTTTTCATAACTTTTCCAGAAATATCAAAGCAAATGCCCTCCGTGTCTCAACTCTTTCATTTCAAACTCTGACCCACAATCACTTGTTTCTTTTCACTGCTACTTCCCCAGAACTACAGCATTCTTTCTGCACTGCCATTTTCTTATCTTACCATTTTAAGACATGGAAAAGGAAAACATTAAAGGTTCCAGTGAGAGTACTCTCTCACGCATTCCCTTTCTCTCTCTTCTGTAATGCTTTATTTGGGAATTTTCACATTTGAATTAATTTAGTTGAAAACTAAAATCTGTATGTTTGTTGTGTGCAATGTAATTCTTTAAAACATGTCTTCCTGGTAGAATTAATAAGCTTATTGTCAAAAAAATAAGTTTATTGTCAAATGCAGTAACCAGTATATTTAAACTCTGTCATAAGAAAGGTTAAAATTCTCTCAGAGATGTTTAATAGATTGTTACTTTTGAGAATCACCACATAATTCAATAGATTTCTTGAATTACTTCTCCCTTCCCAACTGCAACTCTTAATCTCAGTATAACTGTGAGATAGATATTTGTAATTTTAATAGTCCCTACATAATAGGAAATCCTATAAAATACTTAATTTGGTACAGTTGTTCTGTTCACATGATATTGGAATACAATGGACTTGATTCTATCTCCTAAGAGTAATGCCGAAGTAAACGTGTGTTGTTTCCTGGCCGACCAATAGTCACTGTGTCTCAGTCATTCAAAGAGCAAGGCACACTGAACTTGTATGAATGGAAAGCTCTGTTAATATTTCCTCAAAATACTATCATTCTAATCTTCAAAATGTTTGGCTGTTTTACAGCCTTCTAAATGCTAATCAGTGTTCTGGTAATCCTTGTTCATACAGAATCACAGATGTTTATTGTAAGATACATCATATAAGATATCCAAATTAAATAAAATTCATATAATTATATCTTAGATATACAACATTTATATAACTTCATTGAATAAAGAATAAACTTGTGAATTGTATAATGGAACATACATGATTCGGGATGAAAAGGAAGGAGTTGCACAGTAGAAATTTCACACTTGAAGTATAAATTAGCTTTTTTCCCATTTGAAGAGTTGTGTTGGAGAATAATTACATCAGAAATTATATATATATTTTTTCATTCTTACAATTTTTTCCTTTCTGTCCACCCAAAAAAAAAAACCTTCTGATTAAAAATTAATGCAAACCCTGGCTTATGTGTACTACTTAAGGAAAATGGATTACAATATATTAAAAATATTGTGTTTTTAATAACAATGTTTAACAGGAAATGTAACTTGCACCACAATTAACTAAAAGCTGATTTATCTTGTTTACTCCAAGACTTATATGAGAGTAGTAACGAATGAGTACTCAGAACAATATTTACTTCTTTTTAAAAGCAATCAAATATTAGCTCTTCCCTTAACCATAACATGTGGATGAAAACCCTCATCACACAGTTTATAATGTGTGCCTTCATCAGAGACATAGCCTCCCATGATAACAAACAAAACGTGTCTATAAACAAAAGTCCTTGTGAACTTTGTGATATCCTTTACAATTTTAAGAAAACTTGCTAAAGGTGTTCAAGCTAACTGTTGTCCATCCGAATGCCGTTACTTGTACAGGGTATCTTGGAGAACGAATGGCCAGCTTTAGATTCCACTGGGTTCCCTGCACAAACACTGCCTCTCTCCAACCAGCTGCCCTGGCCAAAGGTAACATGTCATGGAAACTTATGAGTGCTCGATCTTTGCTGGCTTCTGAAGGTTCTGCTCTGCCATGGTGATTAATAATACAATTTATTGACTTGAAAAACATAATTACTTTTAGAAGCCTTTGACTTCCTCTTCATCCCCAGATGTAATTTTTCATGTAGCTTTTCTTTCATTTGCTCTTTATTTTTTTTTTCTTTACTTTGGATTTCTTTCAACGCTTTATTTCACAGTAGCCAGAAAAAAAACTGATGTGCCTCAGCTGCATATTTGGCAGTAGACTAAAATCACTAGTTGACAGCACTTTAAAAATGCAGAAATACATTTTTATTTCTGAGAGGCGGCAGCTGAGGATCCTCAGCCAGAGGTCAAGGGGACTGCAATCTCGGTTATTTATTTGATAATCTTTGAAGTTTTTGTTTTCTGAGATTTTTGTAAGATCTTTGCAATTAATCATGTTGTATATGTGAGCTATACCAAAAAGCATACTCTTCGTACCATGTAACATAAGAATATTTAGGCATGTTCCAGAAATTATATTTGATTATCATTTTAATGTTGTAATACATTTCCCTTTGAGACTGCTCAGGCTGCCACATGTTAGGTAAGCACACAGATGCTGGAATTTTTTAATTCACTTTACATTTATTTATGCTTTTAAAATAAGACCCCTCAGACTTTGAAACACGGTGAACCTTCACTTACTATACCAACTCGTCCAGCTCAAGCATGGCTAAACAATGAGAAAGAAAACGTGTTTTCACCAGAACACACACAGTTAAGCAGCAGGTAAGCTAAGTTACCCTCTAAGATGGGCACCAACTTATGAATGAAAAAGACAAAAGTACCCACCCCTTCTAAGAGTAGAACAACCATGAAAATAGACATTAATTGACTTGTAAAAGATGGAACGCATGTAATGTTAAAATAGGAAAATAAGTGTTCAAAACTGTGTGGAAGCGTTTCATTAAAGCAGCAACAAAACTTACATCTTGATGAACTAATGTAGTGCATAATTGTACAAACATATTCACGGCTTGACAGGTAGAGAGGAGGACTAAAATAAAAACCCTAGTACCACAGTCCTTTCAGCAAAAGGATTGAAATATGCTCCATGTAATTGAAATGTAAACATTTTAAATTAATGGCAGACTTTTATTACTTTTCAAGATAAAGCTCCTCTGTAGCTTAAATAGGTTTTATTTCCAAGTTTGAGACAACATAAACAGCTTGTAGTTTTTAAAAGAGCTGATGTACTTGTGTTGATTCTGTTCAAAAACATGCATTTCTGTTAACAGATCAGAAAACAAAACTTTATCCTGGACCCCTGAATCAAAGTCAAGTAAGAAGAGTTTACTACAATCTGAAAAAGAAGAAAAAATTTCAGAAGAGTGGTAAGTCCTCTGTTTTATACTAAGAAATTGAAAGATCTTGGCTATCTGAGGCAGATATATTTTGGAATTCAATAAGTCACTAGTTTTTAAGAAACTGACTTTTGAAATTAGTTAGCTTTATGAATTAGGATGACAATTCAATGTTTGTAATTCAAACATGTACATTTACATGTATGTCAATGACTAAATATGCTTCAGTTATCTTAAATTTATCTTTTCAATAGGGGCTTTAAAGATATCTCTACAGCTCAGCAAATGCTAAAGAGAGCACAGAAAATGAAATCAAAAAAATTAAGGAAAAAATTAGGTAAGTAATAGACTTTGAGCAGGAGCTATGTGTGGTATTGACTAATTTTTTAAAATTGTGTTTTCTATGTATATTTTATATGAACAGAAATTAGTGCACTGGTAACTACGTCTAAGATAATTAACTATAAACCCCTCAATTTCCAAAGAAAATTATGCTATCATATTTAATGATATAATTTGCCCTTTTATTTTCAAAATATTCCCTGTTTCATACACACTGGTATTGACTTTTCTGTGTCCTGTGCACTGTGGCAATTATGTTATAATTTGTCTCTGAGTTGGTGTATTTGGAATGTTGATTTAAAAACCATCCACTTCATGTGCTCATTGCTTTGTATGCTCTTGAATTGCTTGGTTATTCAGTAAACCGAATACATCAGTTTGTTGGAATTAGCTATAGAGATTCACACATGAAAAGAAACACTATTTCCTGATTTTGAAAAATTTGTAAACATTGGAAGGCATCTATTTTCTCTCTACTTGTGAAGCTATCCTACAAATCATTTATCTTTTTTTTGGAAACTTTACTCATTTTCATATCCATGATAAATATAGAGATATAAGGCAAAATTAGGAAATGGTTATGATTTTATATCTTTTAAAACTATTTATAATTATCTCCATATTATATTTAATGTCTGTCTTTGTGATATCATGCGTTCAGGATCTTCATAAAAGGCACATGACTCTTCTAATGTGTAACTTTGTTACAAGTAACCAAGAAAGAAATCTGTTCTTATAGCTCAGAAATTACCTGTTTGTTTTTGTTTATTAAATTCTGAGTTATATACATATATGTAGTTTAAAATCTATATTAAAATAACAAAATACTTTTAAATAAATCAAATGCTTTTCATATCAGTCACTAGCCATTGATAAATTCATGGTAACTCATTTTTTTAGTTTTTTAAACATCTAACTTTTACCTCGTTGTGATATTAGTTATTTTAATTTCTATATTCTATCCTTTTGAGGATACTGTAATTTTGAATACCATTTGTCAAATACATAACATTGAACATTCAAACATTTTAAAATGGATTTAAGTAAGTTTCTTGTTTTCCCTTGTTTTTGCCTGCTACCCACTCATTTTGTAAGTCTCTATGAAGTACATTTGCTATGGACTGAACCATGTTATGGCTACTTCAGTGAAAGAGCAACTCTAAAACCAGAAGTTTTTGAAGCTCAGTCAGGAAATTTGGAATGCAATACAGTAAATAGGGCTGTTCAATAAACTTTTTTATGTCTTCTTTGGCTTATTTTTCTATCCCTCTACATGAATTTCAAAAGGAGCTGTTTCAAAAATAATGCAAAAATATATTGAACTCCCAAGCCAAGTTCAATAGGTTGAGAACTGACCCAGCCAATTTTCAAGAAGTAATAGCCTATTTCTATGTTTCAGCAAATGATTCAGCAAGCAATATCTGCATTGATTTAACTTTTTCTTTCTTCCTATTTTATGTATTTGTTTTAAAATTTGTGCTCACAACTAGATGTAATTATGCAAAAAAGTTTCTTCTGTCAGTCACAAGGGGGCATGATAGGGTCAAAAATGAGAAGGGAAACCCAAAGTTAAATATTGTAACTCCATTTTAACTTAGTATTCTGGCAATGCTGCATAGGCGTGATATGTTAAATAGAAGCTGTGGATGAAAACTGTGACTCTTTAAATGGAAATCACCAACTGATCGCACAATCCCAATAGCCTTTTTACCACAGTATGAACATGTAAATCTCCATGTGATGTGTTTGTCCTCTTTGTACATCAACATATGAGGTTCAAGATGCAAAATCAATTTGACTTTAAATTCTGAATGCCTAAATTTGGAATTTAATGACCAGCCTTTCACGGTTCTCATGGCTTTCCTCTATGCCCTCCTCACATATCAGTTGAAATAAGAGAGGGTTACAAATGAGAAAGAAAAGAAAACCAGAAGGAACCTCTTGAGAGATCATATTTTATCTTTTATTAAGTTCACTTACACCATTTCTGTCTGTGAGTAAGTTATTTAAGACTCTGTACTATAGGGTTTTTTTTTTTAAGCTTAAAAATTAGATCAAATTCCTGTTGCCATTCCAGTTTTCATAACTCAACTGCAAATGTGTCATAAATTTACTTGAATATGAGCATGATTTAAACTTTTAGCCACTGATGTTCTAAAACAATATTTAAGTATTTACTTAACTATCCAAATTCTGCTTAAACTGAAAAAGTTTTAAACTGAAAGTCTAAATATTAAGTGTACCTTGTATGAAAACCTTGTCAACATGAAAATTTGGAGCCATGAGAGGGCAGCATTGTCCACGAAAGTGCTGTGGGACTAACTCCTGTTGACTGAGATGATTGGGGTGGGAAGAGTGTCAGAGACAGGTTCTATGAATTCAAGAGTCAACAGGATTCTGTGGGCTAACAAAGCCTTGATCGTCAGGGAATCCAAGCATACAAATAGGGTATGGCAGCATTAAATATCAATCATGAAAAATATAAACTAAGCTGCTGGTCAGGGGAAATCACTTCATATTTCCTGTTCATACATTTTACATACTTGTATTAGCCAAGGAATATGAATCAATACTTATTTACTGTTAAAATGATAACATGGCAGCTGCAGAAAGTCTGGTTTTTGGAGAAAGTAGTGGGTGAAGGAATAAGTTTCTGAGAGAGGAAGCCAACTACTGAAGAAGTAGATTAACTGTGAAGCACAGTTGAGGAGCCTTTATTGGGAGCAAAGAGTGTGGACAGTTGTTAGGGAAGCTCCAGTCCTGATGAAATCTGTCTGCAGAACTGAGGCCATCTGCTTTAAAGGACAGCAGGACCCAGTGTCCTACACAGCCGAGGTTACAGGCAGCGGCCCCGGTCTAGTTTGCTTCATCTTACTTCTTTGATACAAAATATCAGAAGCAGAAGAGGAAAGAATGGGAAGATTGTGGAGGAATTGCTTGCTGTCTTGATAAGAAGTCTAAAATTGTGCGAAACTGTCATGTTTGGCTTGGTTATGTTTGGATTGCTGTTGTTGTTTTACGTAATAATTGTTTCATCTCCTCCCCACCCCTTTTTGATTGACATCAGCTAGAAACAATAGTGACTAGTCCTGCTTTGTATATTGTCTGTCTGTCTGTCTGTTCTGCTGCCCTGTACACAAAAGTAATTTCAGAACTTAGTGAGCAGAATTAGGAGTTATCAGACACTGGAGGAGTTTAAAATTCAGCACTGCAATGAAGAATACCATATGTAAGGCGAGAGCCCCATGTCTATTGAAAACATGCAAGGTCAATAACCTGAGGGTAGTGAGCATATTTGGGCGTAACACTAGAGGAGTGGGCTGGGGAAAGTGAGTGGGTGGCTGGTTTTGATGCCTAGCACTCCTCAGAAGCTCTAAGTGGAATGGATTTGGGTGCATAGAAGCTGGTAAAGTATAAGGGAAGAAAATGTAGAACATAGACATAATATGTGTTTCTCTGTATCAAATTTATACATGCTGAATGTAAGTCTTTGTAAGTAAAGAAAAAGATGAAACAAAAGAGGTTAATTTATTTTTGAGGCAAGGGTGACACAGGATAAAAATGACCCATCCACTTGTTTAATTCTCAATAATATCGAGTATATAATTCTTGTTCAGTAGGTATTTGCTGGCTTTATTTCCATGAAAAACAGCTTAAGGCATTTCATATCATTAAATCATATCTTAGAAGTAAGTAATGTAGAAAAATTTTAAAAGGCTCATTTTAGGCATGGTAAGCAGTTTATGGGTTGTGAGAAAGGAGTCTTCAAAATGATAATATAGCTGATGCATTTTTAAATGAGAAGGATCAAGAATGATCAATATTGGCAAAATTTTAGCAAAATGAGATTTACTTAAGATTTATTTTATTTACCTCAAAAGTTCTAGAAAGAATCAGTGAAAATTTTAGTCAAACACTACTTTGTTGTGCTTCCAAAAACAATATTAGAATTCATTTTGAACTGTAAGCAGTTGAGGCTCTACCTATTTTACATTAAATCTACTAATACACCTGCACTTGACTCAACATTAAAGTTATTGATAAACATTTAATACTCTATATTTATGGTTCTGTGAGTCTTTAATCAATTGTAGACTTATATCTAGGAAGTTAAGTTTAAATTAGTGCCTAGTATGCATGTACATGCAAACAACTTTTGGTGCAAATGTGGCTCAAGAGGGCCAGGGTCCATCCCAAGAACTGTTCAATTAGCAGTGTTTTCCACATGGTGCTGGCTTTAGTGGATGCAAGAGTCAATGGGATTATGGATGTTCACTATGTTTTCATGCTAAAAATAGGCAACATGTGACAGAGGATTCCTGTCTGAAGGCCCTGAAAGGACAAGAGATCATTGTGTGAATGTGTAAAAGTGAATCCTCGACTTCAGTTGATACCCATAAGATGTTAGCCGTGAGATACTTGCCAAGGAGAGCTGTATATGGGAAGTAAAACTAGCCAGAGAGAGAGACATGTTATATGAAGCAAAGGTGGAAGGAAAGATGCACTTAGACCTTTGAAATTATATTACTGAACATCAGAAATTAATCACAGGATTTGGTCTTTGCTTTGCTGAATTCCGGTCTTGATTTAAGTCCAGTATTTTCTTGCTATGTCCCCATTTCACCATTTTGGAATGGTAATATATATTCTGTGCCATTGTATGATGGAAGTATGTAATTTGGGTTGTTATTTTACAAGAGATTACTATTAAAAGATTGCCTTAAATCAATAGAAGAGACTTTGAACTTTCAAACAGTGTTAAGACCATGAAAGCCAGTGAAAATATTTAAGTTGATTTGGCCAGAAAGTTGAATGTAGTAGTTTGAAATGGAGGTATCCGCCCTAGTGTCAGACATTTGAACACTTGGTTCCATTTCATAACATTGTTTGGGAGGCTTAGGAGGTATGCAAAGCATATGGGAAAGCAAGATTTTATTTTATTTTATTTTTAATTTTATTTTTCTTCACAATTTATTATTTCCCTATTGAAGCCCCCCCCCCCCACAACTCCCCCCAGTTCCACCCTCACTTGCTCTTCCTCCTATCCCCTTCCCCTAGACCACTGAAAGGGGGAGTTCTGCACTATTGCCATCTGCCTATAGCTTGTTAAGTCTCATCAGGACTACTTGGATGATCTTCGTCCATGGCCTGGCAAGGCCACATCCCCAGGGGCAAGTGATCAGAGAGCAGTCAACTGAGTTCATGATAGAGGCAACTCATGCTTCCTTCACTCAGATATCCACAGGGCGACTGAGCTGCCAATCGGTCACATCTGAGCAGGGGGGTGAGGTCCTCTCTATGCATGCATGGTCCTTGGTTGATGTATCATTCTCTGCAGGACCACTGGGCTCAGATCTTTTAGTTTTGTTGGTCTCCTTGAGGGGCTCCTCTCCCTGCCTTGCTGCTCTATTCCCACCCTCTCTTCCTCCATAAGACTCCCTGTAATCTGCCCAACGTTTTGCCCTGAGTTTTACCATCTGCCTCGATCCCCTATTGGGTGAATCCTTTCCGAGGACCTTCTATAGCACGCTCCCATCCTGTTTTCTCTATTCCACTGCTTCTGGTGTTTATCCTGTTTGCCATTCTGAATGAGATTTAAGCATCCTACCTAGGGTCCTCCTCCAGATCCAGTTATACCACTCCTGGACATATACCCAAAAGATGCTCCACCATTCAACAAGGACATTTGCTCAACTATGTTCACAGTAGCTTTATTTGTAAAAGCCAGAATATCGAACAACCTAAATGTCCCTCAGTGGAGAAACGGTGCAGAAATTGTGATACACCTACACAATGGAATACTACTCTGATATTAAAAACAAGGAAATCATGAAATTTGTAGGAAAATGAATGGAATTAGAAAAACTACAGTATCCTGAGTGAGATAACCCAGAAGCAGAAAGACAGACTTGGTATACATTCACTTATAAGCGGATATTAGCTGTATAATATAGGATAGCCATCTACAGAGCTAAAGAAGCTCAACACAGAGGAGGATCCTAGGGAGGATGCTTGTATCTCATTCAGAGTAGCAAACAAGATAGACACCAGGGATGAGATTTTAAAACGTTGCCTCTTTCAGTTTGTTCTGTCTGTTTTGTGCTTTTGCTTCAAGGTGTGAGCTCCCAGCATCCTGCTCCTGTGGCTATAGCTACTGTTTGTTCCTATGATTCTGCTCTGCCATCATGAACTCACTTCTCTCGGGAACCACAAGCCAATAATAAACTCTCTCTTTCTTAATTTCTTGAGTTGCTTCTGATTTTGGTATCGTATTACAACATAAAAGTACAGATGTTCAGCATGAAGAATGTGCATCTTTCATGCAGAAAACCTCCGGTTCAGCCCCAGAAGCTCACAAAATTGGGCATACTTGTACCTGGTTGAAATCCACTAAGAAGGAAGAGGCAGGAAGTTTGAATTCAAAGGCTATCTTAAAAGTTTGAGATTAGCCTAGATTATTTGAGGCCATTGTCTTTAAAAAACTATCAACAATAACTATATTTTATGATATTTTTGTGTCAGAATAATGACGTTAAGGTAGTGAATCAAAACTGAGACTATAGAAGCTGAAAAAGGATTATGCAGGTGATGGATATTGTCATGGAAACCATGTTACATCAATGATACAATGGCTATAAAGCATAAATCACAGACCCAAATGCATAAATGAATTCCATTTGCATACCTGAAACTTTCTTTAGATATGCTTAAAGTACAGTTAATGTGTTTTATTGACAGTGGTAAGGCATACTAGGAAAGAGAAATAATTTTTTAATTATTATTTTTTTATATTATTTGCAGTTTATTCATTTTGTATCCTAGCTGTAGCCCCCACCCTCATCCCAATCCTATCCTCCTTCCCTCATCTCCTCCCATGACCTTCTCCAAGTCCACTGATAGGGGAGGTCTTCCTCCCCTTCCATCTGACCCTAGTTTATCGGGTCTCATCAGGACTGGCTACATTGTCCTCCTCTGTGGCCTGGCATGGCTGCTTCTCCTTCGGGGGTGGGGTGGTCAAAGAGCCAGCCATTGAGTTCATGTCAGAGAAAATTTTTAAAGTACCGTTTACAACAGACAAGTATACTTAAAGAAAACAGAGTTTGCAATTGAAAATGTTGGATCCATCTATCTGTTTACTACATGGATCACCTTATTCTGTGAATGATTGATGATTTTCAAGTAATTTAATCATTTGAAAATGTTGCTGTTATTTAGGTTGGCTTACCCTTGCTTGTGGCATTTACTTTCCTACGCTTAGAGAGCATGTATTTTGGTCATTACATATTCTGTATCAACTTTCACACTCAAAGTCAATGTTGGAAAGACTGTCAGAGTGCAAGATTACTTTTTTCATATCCATACAACTAGTAAACATTGCACCTGGTATCTGGCTCAACATACAATGCACACAGAATGATCCACGAACTGCTTTCTTTCTGGTATCCCTTTTTACCACCTGGCTTCCCTACTTCCCTACTAATCTAAGCCTTGAAGTGATATTTTATTCACAATGATATTTCTAGGGACTTTTAGTATCCGTTTATTTCCCCCATGTTAAATTACCACAATTTTTGCTTCTTATCATTATACCTTTACAATTTGAGTTGAGTTTTAAATCAGTTTAAAGTGATACAATCAAAGTGTTCTGAGGCTAATGGATATTTATAATGTAATGCTCTATAGATATTCCTGGAAAATAAAATTACTTTAATGAATAAATTTTGTGTGGCATATCTTCTAAATAATTTATATGTGTTACATGATTGGCTCTGATCAGCACTGTGATGTAAGTGCTCTTGTTATCCCTGCTTCATTTGTACATATCGAGAGTGCTATTTTTCCAAGAAAATTTCAAATAAGGAACTGACACATGTTTTTGTTCATAATTTTGTTCACTTGAATAAAAGCTAGCCAATGATGGATCCATTTACCTATTTTGCATATTAAATAATTTGCCAAGAACATAATTATTTTAAAATGTTGAAATGGTTTATGGTGACATATATGTGTTTGTCTCATCGGTCGAGTTCCTACTCTTACATGAGCATGAAACATTTCCCATACTGTTTCAGTGCTTACATGCAAACTCAGTTTTGTTCAGATTGGAAAGAAAAGACAGATTGGAAATCATTGTGTTCACATACATACAAGCAATGAAAGTTGGAATGGATATCTAGCCCAGTTATATAGAGTTCTAACTTCTGGAAGCAACATAGATCTAATAAGAATGGAAGAAGAAAGATTAAGAGTTAAACTATGACCATGGGGAACCACAGAATTATGACATGATCTGTGACATAAGCTCATGAAATGATAATACCCCCTCTCATCAACTTAGGTTTGCTTTTGGTATCCCTTTATAGTTGGCTTATATAACATATGCTTCCTGTGCTATAGCAACCCGAACATTTATCATTACTGTTAATTCTTAATGAAGTTTGGTAGAGACTTCTAATTATTATAATGCCTTGGGGGGGGACTCAGAAAGTAGCCAAACGTTGTTAAGTGAATGTGGTGTTTGTAAACACGTAAATAAGCCCAGTGGGGCTCAGTTCCTGCTAGAAGTCTGCTAGGGACTGACAGGCTGCTCATTCCAGAGCAACCTTTTCACAGATATCCTTTCCCCTCTCAATCTGCAGTCCAAAACTTACTACTTTAGCATCAAACTACAAATGTGCTTTGGTATTTAGGATGTTTAAAATATTGACTTGTCTGTTTGATCTATTTACTGCTATTACTCTAAATATTAACTAAAGGGTTCATACTCTTCTTGACCTTTTCCAGATAATATAGTAAAAGACACGTGTACCACCCCAAAGTGAGTTTTATGTAACCATAGTAAAAGTGCATACTTTTTTATTAACTTTCATCTTCTAGTACTTACTTTACTACTTTCTCATTTTTTAGTCAAAACATCTAAATAATTAAGGGCCATATCCTTTTTTTTTCACATTCTATAGAACAATTTGTTATTAATGAGAAATTACAAGGCTCTACATTCACAGGGACTCACTTTGTAATATGCTAGATTAATACAATTTCTAATTTAAAAAATATAGAAAGTATTCATATAACTTTTTTGTTATGTAAATTTATTAGTACAAAAGAGAAAACATACTTTTACATGTGAAATTATTTTTTCTATTAGTTATATGTTTCCTAACTGTCTTGTTTCCATCTCACATTTATTATTACTGTATAGTTTATCACTGATATATCGACTATATTGACTACTCTGTTCATCAACAGATTTTTCTATTTCTCAGAGCTCCATAGAGTGTGTATAATTGTTACTAGCAGTGTGAAGAAATACTATGGTCATATCAGAGAAAGAATAACCTATAGGTGGCCTTTCCTGTTGTCTTTTTCCATCTAGAACCCTCTGTGCGACTAGCATTATTCAAAAAAAACAGAAATAAAGTTCTGGTTACAAAGTCACCAAAGAAGACACAGCTCGGGAGAGACAGTTACATTGAAGGTAAGGTTTAAAGAAGAAACTATTACTAAAATGTTTTCAGTCTTCATAAGACCTAAAGTACACATATGAAAGATACATATGTAAAGTATACATGAATAAGAATCACATATATTTACCAAGATAAACACCTTATCTATCATGCTGAATATTAGTATATTTTTCATTTGTGCCTTTTATTTTTTTCTAAAGAAGATTGCAATATTGTATCGTCAGTGTTAATACTGATATAAATTTTTAGAGGTGCAAATTATATCTTCAATAAGTAAGATTGATCACATGCTAAAATGATATTTTAATATAGTCAGTATGATCAAATTTCGTTAAACAGTACAAATTATACTTTTATTTAAAATATTTTTCCTCAAACTAGAAAAATCTGTTGATTAACAGGAAATATAATCAATATCTATATCCTACGCAGTCAATAGTGAAAGCTTTCTCAGTTTTAGATTTAAGGTTTTCATATCTAGTTGACTGGTTACATTTCTGATTTTGGTATGCAGGAGACCTATACACTTAAATTATTAGACAGAACCACAGTGTGACTTAACAGTTTTACATCTGTTTGTAGTACTAACATTTTTATAGTTTATTCAATTTTACTTTCTTCTAATCCTTTATAACAGGGGAAAAGGAATATATTTTTGAATGGAAAGTAACTATTATTTTCTGTATCATTTATGTAATGAATCTTAAAATACATACATCGCTCATAGCCTGCTTGAGAATGGGTTCATTGTTATTTGCATCTCATTATGATTTCGAAGTCAGTGAATTATTATTATTATTATTAAAAGTAATTATAATAATTGTTATTATTATTAATGTGTGTATGGTTAGAAGACATGACATCTGGAGTTTTTGTGAATGACTGCAACAACAAACATAGTTAGAAAGACATGTAAAGCATATATGGCAGTTAATTGAGGTTACTGCAGTAATAGATTATGTATATGTACAAATGTATATTGTATGCACATCAATTATACTATTTTATATAGTATATAAATATACTATACTATTTTAATATTTACAATTTGTCCATGGCACAACAACTTCAAATTGTGTCCACTAAAGGAATCAACTCAATATTGGTGAAATGTGTTTGTCTGGGTATTTTACTTTTCTTTTTTTCCTAATCCTAAATATTTTGAACTTCAGTTGAAACACTGAATGAGTATTGTGTATATATAGATTTTCTAACTAGAGGTTCATAGTTATTATGCTTATTTAAGACATTTGATTTTAAAGAGTGAGCTTGACAATGATGGTTCTACATGAAAAAAAATGTACAGATTTTAAGAAGAGTTAAAGATAATATGCTTGCTGTCATCCTCATTGAACTCCATGTTGTCTTATGGGCTGCTCGGAACTCACCCTGCACTGAAGTGTATGTTCAGCAGTGCAGAGGACACCTTAGTTCAAGCAGGATGACCCACTGCAGCTGCCCAGTCATGGCTACATTCTTAAACCAAGTTTTTTGAGATAAAACTTGTTATATAGTGTACCTTTTTTTGAGGCTGTATTTAGAGCACTAAGAGCAATTTTTATTATTTATTATTTTTAAATTTTTAAATTTTTTTTTATTTTTTATATTAATCACAGGTTATTTACTTTGTATCCCAGCCATAGCCCTTCCCTCACTCCCTCCCAATCCCACCCACCCCACCATCCCTCATCTCCTCCCTGCCCCTTTCCAAGTCCACTGCTAGGGGAGGTCCTCCTCCCCTTCCATCTGACCCTAGCTTATTAGGTATCTTCAGGACTGGCTGCAATGTCCTCCTCTGTGGCCTAGCAAGGCTACTCCTCCCTCAGTGGGGGAAAGGAGGGAGGTCAAAGAGCCAGCCATTGAGTTCATGTCAGAAATAGTCCTTATTCCCTTTACTAGGGAACCCACTTGGATACTGAGCTACCATGAGCTACATCCAAGCAGGGGTTCTAGGTTATATCCATACATGGTCCTTGGTTGGAGAAGCAGTCTCATAGAAGACCCCTGTGCCCAGATATACAGGTACACCAGGCGCCGGGCCACCTATAGTATACTTTTAAAATTACAATTCCATTAATTTTACTGTTGCATAATCTGCATTACCTCTTCATTTTATAACATTAGAACTAGTTTTCCCTTAAGAAAAAAAAAATGAAAAAACTTGTGGGAATTTGAATGCCCCCCATGAAGAAAATCAAAATTTAATTTGCTATAGGTTTAGATAAATAACTCCATGTGGAATAATATCTCAGAACTATGCTATGCCAGCATTGTTTCATAATTTCTGATTTTCTTCAAATTAGATCATAGTAATTTTTGAGTATTGATTCTATAATTCTAATTTATTTTATAATGAAACTGTATGAGTTACAGGAAAACATTCGTCTTCAATTTTGCCATCATGACGATGTGAAATGTCATGAGCATTCTAAATTGTATTAAATGCTCTGATTACTATTATGGCCTATTTCTATATGAGAGTAGATAAATGAGGATGTCCACATGAAAATTATGGCTACACCTGAGAAATATTTGACATGCAATAAATTGTATTAAACGGTACAAAGTAAAAACCTTAGCTTTTATCACTCCACATTTATAAAGAACATATTTATATAGTTTGAATTGTACATGAAATAGAAAAAAAATATCTTTATCTTAAACCTAGTCAAGGATAGCCTGTGACTACATCTGTGCCCGACATAATCAAAAGGATATGCCGTGTGTCAGAGATTATTCAGTTCTTCCTATAGCACTGAGGACCTAAGATTATGTAGCTCTTTTATGGCTTGCTTGCTTGCTAGCTTGCTTGCTTGTTAGGTATGTATTTTAGTTTACTTCTGTTATTACATATAATTCTCACATGGGTTTAATATCTAATCTTGCCTTGAAAGTTGAATTATCTTAAAAGTCTCTGAATAAAAATTTTGTTTTGTTTCTCTTTAAGTCAATATTAGTTACTGACCTCAGAGAAAACAATGTTGTGGTGTTATAAGTATATATGCAAAAATTTGTTTTTAACACAGTAAAATCTTTCTATTAAATAGCGGTTTCAACTATATGTTTTAATTAATTTTTATAAGCAAACAGTAAATCAACTCAATTTTATTTAAATATATACAGTATGATTCATTATACTGTTTTACAAAAGATTTTCATGTTCAATTAGTAAAAGTAGTATATAGATGATCATGTCACTATCATTGATAGTCATTATAATTTTTATTCTATTTCATATTATATTCATTAATAAATCATGATTATAAAATTATGAGGAATATGTGGTGTTTTGACTATGTATACAACATGGTATTGTTAAATTCAGCTAATTAACATGTATACTACCTCACCAACCAATGGTTTTTATAATGAAATATTTATATCAGACCCTTCACTATATCTTCTATAGTGGCTTTGGTATATGGTGGATCTAAACACCTAAATATCCCCTACAGGTACCCTATTTCCTTCCTTTTTAACTATAAATATTTGCTAAAAGTACATGTAGAGGCACAAGTACAGACATAAAGGAAATGAACAAAAAAAAATGGAGGCCCTCATAGAAATACAGGAATCCATGTTCAAACAGATGAAAGAAATGGTGGAAGACATGAAAACAGAATTAGCAAAAATAAAAAATAAACACAAACAGAGAAAACCCTGGAGCTGGATAAATTAGAAAAAGATCACAAAAAAGAACCACAAAGGTAAACATCACCAATAAAAGAGATGAAAGAGAGAATCTCAGGTGCTAAAGATACAATTGAAGAAATTGATACATACTCAAAGAAAAAGTAAAATCAGAAAAGTCCCAAACACAAAACATCCAAGAAATCTAGGACACCATGAGGACTCTGGCTAAGATGCTCAATCCCCACTCAGAAAGGCAAAGAAGATGGACATTAGAGGAGGGAGAAAACAGGGGCCAGGACAGGAGCCTACCACAGAGGGCCTCTGAAAGGTTCTACCCTTCAGGGTATCGAAGCAGACGTTGAGACTCAGAGCCAAACTTTGGGCAGAGTACAGGTAATCTTATGAAAGACATGGAGTTAGTAAGACCTGGAGAGGACAGGAGCTCCACAAGGAGATCAACAGATCCTAAAATTCTGGGCACAGGAGTCTATTCTGAAAATGATACTCCAGCCAAGGACCACTTATAGAGATTGCCTGGAACCCCTGCACAGAGGTAGCCTATGTAGCCTCCACAGTATCCAAGTAGCCTCCATAGTAATGGGGACAAGGACTGTCTCTGACATGAACTGATTGGCCTGCTCTTTGATCACCTCCCCCTGAGGGGGGAGCAGCCTTACCAGGCCACAGAAGAAGACAATGAAGCCAGTCCTGAGGAGACCTGATAGAGTAGGGTCAGATGGAAGGGGAGGAGGACCTCCCTTATCAGTGGACTGGGAGAGGGACATGGATGGGGAAGAGGGTGGGGAGGATTGGGAGGGGAGGAGGAAGAGAATACAAATTGAATAAACTGTAATTAATAAAAATAAAAATAATTTTAAAAAAGAATAATAAGAATAGAAGAAAAAGGAGATTCCCGGCTCCAAAGTCCAGAAAATATTTTCAAAAAAATCAGGAGCCTACCACAGAAGGCCTCAGAAAGGCTCTGCTCTTCAGGGTATCAAAGCAGATGCTGAGACTTGTAGCCAAACTTTGAGCAGAGTCCAGGTAATCTTATGAAAGAAGGGGGAAATAGTAAGATTTGAAGAGGACAGGAACTCCACAAGGAGAGCAACAGAACCAAAAAATCTGGCCACAGGGGTCTTTTCTGAGACTGATACTCCAGCCAAGGACCATTCATGGAGATAACCTAGAACCCCTGCACAGATGTAGCCCATGGCAGTTCAGTGTCCAAACGAGTTCCATAGAAATGGGAACAGTGACTGTCTGACATGAACTGATTGTCCTGTTCTTTGATCATCTCCCCCTAAGTGGAAGGCAGTCTTACCAGGCTACAGAAAAAGACAATGCAGCCACTCCTGATGAGACCTGATAGACTAGGATCAG